CAGGTAGGGCTCTCACCCCTTTTAAATAGTAATGCACAGCCGAAACCGGTTTGGCTCAATGGATAGAGCCTCGGCTTAGGGACTGAAGGGTCCCGGGTTCGATTCCGGTCAAGGGCATGTACCTTAGTTGCGGGCATATCCCCAGTAGGGGGTGTGCAAGAGACAGCTGATCGGTGACTCTCATCGATGTTTCTAACTCTCTATCTCTCTCCCTTCCTCTCTGTACAAAATCAATAAAATATATTTTAAAAAATAAATAAAATAAATAAATAAATAGTAATGCACAGAGCCTATCTACCATAAAATAGTTGTAAGCAGCCGAAACCGGTTTGGCTCAGTGGATAAAGCAGTCGGCCTGCAGACTGAAAGGTCCCGGGTTTGATTCCAGTCAAGGGCATGTACCTGGGCTGCGGGCACAACCCCAGTAGGGGGTGTGCAAGAGGCAGCTGGCCGATGTTTCTCTCTCATCAACGGTTCTAACTCTCTATCCCTCTCAATTTCTCTCTGTGTAAAATCAATAAAAATACATTTTAAAAAAATATTTGTAAGCATGTTTTTGAGTAGTAAACATTGTCATTTATCATTCCATTCGTAATTGTTCAGAATTCTTTGAAGATCCAATGATTTATAGGACTTTCCCCATGCTTACGAACTTTCCTTTACCTTGCTAGGCAAAATAAAAATCGAAAAAATGCAGATACTATGCGAACCCTCAAGGAACTTACATTTAAGGGGTTATATCCTATTAAAAAAAAGCCCATCGGCAATAACGGTGTAACGACCAGTCGCTATGAGGTACACTGACCACCTTTTGGTCCCTCCCCTCCAGACCACAGACTTGAATCGCCGGTTGGCAAATAGGGAACCTGGCAAACAGGGAACCGGGATGGATGGCGAGGGGGTGGGACTGGGGACTGGTGAGTGGGCGGAAGATAGCCCTGATCGCAGGCTAGGCCTAGGGACCCTCTACTTCTTAAGAAGGCAGAATGAGGTAAGTGCCACAGAGAGAAAAGAGCTGTGGTACTGTGAAAAGTCCTGGAATAGGCTCTCTAGCCATCTGGTCCCTGCCAGACACAACTCCAACCAGAATTCACTGTTATCCTACTAACAAACTATAGACATTTCAATCAGGTTCCCTGCAGGTCCAGATCTGGAGGACTACTCATCAAGCCCCCATTAGCCTCTAAATTTCCACTGTACCCTCAGCTAATAAAATTGACCCTTCCACCTCCTGGAAAAAGCCCTTCTGCTTCCTAAGGATGGTTCAAATGTCACCTCCTTACTTGAATCTTACTTAGACCCTCAAGGAACAATTAGTTTACACCTCCTCTACAATCCCAAAAGCCTTTGCTTCAAGCATTTAAAGCACTTATTATCCAGGTGTACCTGTGCAGAGTTCCCACAAGACTGTGAAATCTTTTTATTTTTAGATTTTTATTTATTGATTTTAGAGAGAAACGTCTATTTGTTCCACTTATTTTTTTAAATATATTTTTATTGATTTTAAAGGAAGGGAGAGGGAGAGAGAGAAAGAGGTAGAAACATCAACGATAAGAGAGAATCATCGATGGGGTATCCCTGAGCATGTGCCCTGACCAGAATCTAACTGATATCTACAGGTTCATAGGTTGAATCTCAATCACTAAACACCACAACCAAGTTATTGTTCTGTTCCACTTATTTAGCATTCATTGGTTGCTCCTTGTATGTGCCCTTGGGATGAAGCTCTAACCCACCAGTTGGCGACCAGACCACTGGTGGTCCGTGAGGTCAGAAAGATTGGCGACATCTGCTCTAACCAACTGAGTTATCTAGCCAGGACTAGACTTTTTTTTTAAATATATTTTATTGATTTTGTTCAGAGAGGAAGGGAGAGAGAGTTAGAAACATCGATGAGAGTCATCGATCAGCTGCCTCTTGCACACCCCCTACAGGGGATATGCTCGCAACCAAGGTACATGCCCTTTACCGGAATCGAACCCGGGACCTTTCAGTCCCCAAGCCGACGCTCTGTCCATTGAGCCAAACCGGTTAAGGCATAGACTGTGAGATCTTTAAAGCAGCTTTGTATCCTCAGCCACTCACAGCGTCCAAAATAGAATGTGTCAAACACAGTATAAGTACTTTACATGTATTACCAAAATACATATTAACATATACATAGTATCAATTATCACAGTAAAACTGCAAATGAGGTTAGAATTCTTATCTCAATTTTATAGATGAGGAAAATAAAGTGCACAGAAAGGTTAAGTAACTAAAGTGCTCAAAGTCTCGAAGCTAATAAGAATTAGACCCCAAGATTTCAACCTAGCCACAACTCCAGAATTGAATATATACAGGGTTAAGGTCTCGCTACAAGACCAATGGTCTCCATCACAGAGGGCATAGTTACTATTTACCCGCTGAGGGATTTAAGGACAATACTGGAACCTCTAACCATATTTGTTTTAGCTCAGCTTTTTGTAAAATGTCTATTTTTGCACATTATAAAGTATACATAACCCCTGGGCAGTGTGGCTCCGCTGGTTGGAGCATTCCCCATATAACAAAAAGTCTCGGGTTTGATTCCCCATCAGGGCACATAAATACCTAGGCTTCGGGTTTGACCCTGGTTGGGGAACATAATGGGAGTCAACCAATTCTCTCTCACATTAATGTTTATCTTCCTTCCCTTCTCTCTAAAAAATCAGTAAAAAAATCAATAAGATGTATCTTCATCCTCCCACCTGGCCTGTGTTGCTCAGTGGTTTGGCATTGTCCGATGCACCAAGAGGCCACCAGTTTGATTTCTGGTCAGGGCACATGCATGGGTTTTGGGTTCAGTCCCTTGTAGGGAGTGTGGGGGAGGCAGCTGATTGATGTTTCTCTTCTCAAACTCTGATGTTCCTATCTCTCTCCCTCTTCCTTCCTCTCTCTCTAAAATCAATAAGAAATATATATATATAAATTAAAAAATAAACAAACAACAAAGCATATCCTCGGGTGAGGATAAAAAAATGTACATAATACAGAGTACAGTCAACACCATAATTGTAATTTAAAACAAACATTCACTAATGTGAGTATAATACTCAACCCTATTTACTGAGAGAACACTAAAAACATTTGAGGTCACTGCTCTAGATTACTTCCCTAGGGACTCTGCCCAGTACTTCAGTTAAAAGCATTAGCCAAATGTTTAGACTATAGGTAAGCTTCTAGAGGCAAGAGTCTGCTCTTTCATTCATCTTCGAAGCCCTACAACAGCACAGTGCCTGGTGCTTAGCAGATGGTCAATGCTGAATTTAACTGTATCATGAGAATCTCACTGAAAAAAATCCTCTCAATATTTTAATATACCATGTTATATGCTTCCAGATTAAAAGAAAATATATACTAAGCACACTGCCTAGGAATACAGAATTTCCTTAGAAACACCAAAAAAAATTTTAATAAATAAATATTATGTCCTCCTTAGTTACATAATAGAATCAAAAATTGTACTTTGGGGCATAATTTAAACTCAAAACTGCATGAAAGAGATTTGGACATACAAAATTTAAGTTCAGATTAAAGGTTCTTTCGCTACAGAGGTGGTGCACCTTTGTCAGACCTAAAGGTCACCTCTGTCTGCCTTTCTTTAGGTATAAGCTCTAAGAGGAAGGAATTAAACTATCAAAAGCTGCAACTGCAAACTTGACTATGAAGAGACGTCAGCTGGGGGCAACTACTTTGCATTTCTTCCATCCAGCACTGAATGGGTATCACACAAAGGAGCAAAGGGGCTGTGTAAAACCTCCTAGTTAGGTGGTGAAGAAGATGGGCTCTGAGATTAGATTGATTACATTAGATTGCAGGGTTTCTTCTGTTCCTCAGTTTCATCCTCTGCGAAATGGGCATTTTCAAGTACTTAACTCATAAATAAGTCACCAGGATTAAATGAGAGAAAGCATGCAAAATGGACTTGTTTCCTCATTTACCAAGGTCTTCCCTCCACCCCCAACTACTAGTAAATTCAAAGGCCAAGTTTGAGCTATCTAGTCTGCTGCTATATTCTCTGGGCCAAGAAGGGTACTTTTTGCTTAATAGATTATTTAATAAATATTAAATGAATGAAATGCAAAATGCCTGCTACTCAAAAAACACTTTGGCGAGAAACAATTAAAATGTTATTGTATTAAAAGACCCCACCCCTAACCCAAGGATCTCAACAATTCCTGGAGGAACACTAGATAAATGCTAGAATGGGAGAATGGAGATAAGAAAATCAAGTGGATTGTAAAACAGGACTAAGCAAAAACAAAATAAAATCTTAAATACACAACCCACAGCCTGATCCCGGGCTTTCTGGAATAAGGTTCACCCAGGGTGAGGTTTATTAGCAATCACAATGACAGTTTTCACGCTTGGATTATGTGTGCCGAAGCAGTCTCTACTGGCTTTCCCAAAACCCAACCACCGGGGTCGGATGGGGTAGTGGAGACGATCCTCACACCCCCGTTTCACAGATGGGAGAAGTGAGGCTCGTAGAGACAGATCCAAGATCGGGATGTGAATCCCTGCAGTCCGACCCCACAAGCCTGCACACGCTACAGGCTCCTCCGAAGACCCATCTTCATCTCCTCCACCCTAGGCCCCATGCCCCTCGAAATCAGGAGTGTGCCATATTCCCCCAGGAGCCGGACTTGGTGGCCCCAGTGCCGGGAGAACAAAACAATCCCTGTCCGTGGGCAAGTCCGAGGGACGCCGGCCCAGCCTGGGCTTCGAGGCCGCGGTCCGCACCGCTCCGCTCTCCCCGGGAGCCCCGAGCCCTCCCGAAGGCGCTGGAAGCGCCCAGGCGGCCCGGGGCGCCAGGAAGGCCCCGCCCGCCGCATGACCTTGGGTCTGCCGCCCTGCTTCGGGCCTCAGTTTCCCCACCGCGGCCTCGCGCCGGGGGCCTCTCGGCGGAGCTCGCGCCCGTGGAACCACAGGCCTCTCACACGCCCCCCTCCAGCCGCCCGCCTTTCCGTCCCACTTACGCTGGAAGGCGGCCGCTCCGGGGACACCCACCATCGCCGGGGGCCTCAGCCGCGAGCCTCCCGCCGCCACCCGCAGCCAGGGTCCTTCACCGACGCCGACGCCGCCGCCGCCACGGGACCTGTGGCCGCCAAGCTCGCCTACCCCAGCGCAGCCGCTTCGCCCGCAGCTACAGCCGCCGTTAGGCCGCGCGCCGCCCCGCCCCCTCCGTTGACCCGCCCCGCCCACCGGCCACGCCCCCAGAGCGCGCTCCCGCCCGCCAGACCCACGCACGCAGAAGCCCGGCCCAAAGAGCAGCATCCGTTAAGCCCCGCCCCCTGGTTGGCCCCACCCCTTCCGCGCGAACCTATAGCCCTATCCCGAAGCATCCTGCTTCTCAAACCCGCCCCTCCTGCGTCACTCGCGCTCGTCACACCCTAGGCTCCCCCTCCGGTACCTAGCTTTCGGCGAGGCCGGGGGATAGAGGCGGAGTCCTAGTGGCGGGGCTTAGCGGGGGAAGGAGACAGCGTCTCACCTGAGTTCTCCACATTTAGGCCCGGTCGCCTTTGAGCTGGTTGCTGACTAAGTCACTTCTTTTTGGCCTACCGTGTTCCAAAAGTGCAAAATGGCATCGTCATTATATTAATATCGTTTAGTTTTCATTATTATCATTGTTCAGGTCCTGTTTTTATTCATTCCATCAGGTTAACCCTCACAATAAATGAAAGAGGTATTATTTTGGCATTTTTCTGCACAAATGGGAAGAAGGGCTTTCCCATCAGCCAGCATGTGCACGGCTACTTTGAGCTACTCTGAACTAGTCTGCCTCCAAGGACTCAAAAATAGGAACTAAAATGAAAACAAAAAGTTAAAAATGCCAAACTCCTCTATGTACAATGACAAAGTTCTTTTAAAAGCAAAAAATTGGGATAAAATATGTGCAACAACCCAGCTGGCATGGCTCAGAGGTTAAGCATCGACCTAGGAACCAGGAGATCATAGTTTAATTCCCAGTCAGGGCACATGCTCAATCGTGCAGGAGGCAGCCCATCAATGATTCTCTCCTATCATTGATGTTTCTTCCTTTCCCTCACTCTCTGAAATCAATAATTTAAAAAAAAGAGATAGTAGCCGAAACCGGTTTGGCTCAGTGGATAGAGTGTTGGTCTGTGGATTGAAAGGTCCCAGGTTTGATTCCAGTCAGGGGCATGTACCTTGGTTGTGTCCCAATGGGGGATGTGTAGGAGGCAGCTGATCGATGATTCTCTCTCATCGATGTTTCTAGCTCTCTATCCCTCTCTCTTCCTCTCTGTAAAAAATCAATAATATATATATATTATTTTTGGCCTACTGTGTTCCAAAAGTGCAAAATGGCATCGTCATTGTATTAATATCGTTTAGTTTTCATTATTATCATTGTTTAGGTCCTGTTTTTATTCATTCCATCAGGTTAAACCTCACAATAAATGAAAGAGGTATTATTTTCAATTTATTTTGCACAAATGGGAAGAAGGGCTTTCCCATCAGCCAGCATGTGCACGGGATATATATTTTTTTTTTTTTTAAGAGAGAGATGGTAATAGTAATAGCAAAAAATGTCCAGTCTTCCAGTTGTCCAAAACTTCCTCCATCCCTCCATTCACTGTCAGTATGCTTTGGCTAACTAAGGCCTATAGGTAACCAAAACATTTAAGAGTAAGAAACAGACCCTGACCACTTTGGCTCAGTAGATAAAGCATTGGCCAGCAGACTGAAGGGCCCTGGGTTTGATTCCAGGCAAGGTCACATGCCCGGGTTGTGAACTCCATTGCCTGGCTTGCAAGAGGTAGCCGATCAATGATTTTCTCTTACACTGATGTCTTTCTCTCTCTCTCTCTCCCTCTCTCTCTCTCTCCTTCTCTCTGAAATCAATTAAAAAATAAAAATAAAAATAAAAGTAAGAGACAGGATGCCCTAACCTGTTTGGTTCAGTGGATAGAGTGTTGGCCCTTGGATTGAAGGGACCAAGGTTTGATTCCAGTTAAGGGAATGTATCTCAGTTGCAGGCTAAATTCCTGCCTTGGTCCAGGTGTATGCAGAAGGCAGCTATCAATGTGTCTCTCTCACATCCATGTTTCTCTCTGTGTGTCTCTCCTCCTCCTATCCACTTTCTCTTTTAAAAAATTAATGGAAAAATATCCTTAGGTGAGGATTAACAAAAAAAAAAATAGAGTCAGAGACAGGGCTGGGTGCCTTGCAAACTCATTTTGACTTCAGTTTTGCAATTGTTCCATTTTCCAGCTAAAGATACAGAGATCATACTGATAATGATCATACTGAGACTCAGAGACTTACCATATAGTTTGCCTGTGTCAGAAGTTTAGTCTCAGGTGACAAAATTGAATTCTGACATTCCTTTCACAACCTTGTAAAGAAATTATCATCTCCATAGACCTAAGGAAATTGCTCAGAGCCCTGGCTGTTTCTTGTCCAAACCAAGTAATTGTTTTTCTTCAGTAACAAAGAGGATAAAGATGGGTGGCAGGGAGAAGTGCATGCTGCCTGCCATCTGCCCTGGCCATTCTCCTTCTGCTAATGAATGGTAAACACAAGGCCCAGCCAGTTGAGTGTAAGGAAAGCTAATTTAAAGGTGTATGGTCTGTATTGAGTAAATAGGGGCCTGTAATGGCGATGGCACTTTAGAAAGCCTTTCTATGACCAGAGCAGTATTTGGCATTGGTGGGACTTTTCCAATAAGCAAGGCCTTTTCTCTCTAGGAGTCTGAAGAGCACAGGAGCTTAGAGGGAGAGATAAACACGTTGACTTTCTTGACCACAGGTTCTATTATTGAAATCCATTATTGCTTATGATTATGAGACGAATGTGAGCATACTAATGGTGAGGAATTTGTTACTACACAACAAAATTAAGACGTAAATGAAAACCACTCTTAATTCTTGACACTAAAAAATAAATTGCTGCCCAGGCCAATGTGGCTCAGTTGGTCGGGCATTGTCCTCTGCACCTGGGGTTACCTGTTCAATTTCCCATTTCAGGCTTGATACTCCATAGGGGACATGCAGGAGGCAGCCGATTGGATTTATATTATACTCACACATGGGTGTTTCTCTTTCTCCCTCTACCTTCCTCTCTCTCTAACAATAGATTTAAAAATCTAAATGAATAAATAAATTGCTTTCACCATTTTACTAAATATCCTTCTCAGCTATTTTTTTTTTATAACAAAGGTGGAAATTTATTGAAAAATGAATAGAGACTCCCACGTGGGGAGGGGGAAAGAATCTCACAGCACAGACTCCCACATGCAGACGGGGAAAGAGTCTCCTCAGCTACTTTTTATCAACTATTTTTTAACCCTTACCTGAGGATATGTTTATTGATTTTTAGAGAAAGAAAAAGCAAACAAGAGAAATATCCTCTTAGAGAAACATTGATTGGTTGCTTTCTGTATGCAATACCCAGGTTGGGGTTCGGGGATTGAACCTGAAACCTAGGTATGATCCCTGACCAGGAATCAAACCCATAACCTTTTTGGTATACCAGATGATGCTCCAACCAGCAGAGCCACAATGCTGGGGCTCGGCTGTTTTTTATTCATGGGTATTTATATAAGTGAGATCATACTGATAATACATTTCTGCATCCTGCCTTGCTTCTTTTTTCACTACTATAGATATCAGCATTTTTGTTCTGTTACTAAAAGTTATTCATAAATATCACTTGATAGATGGCCACATGACATTCTATTTTTGGTAGAATCTGATATGAATAACCATTAGGGCTCTTTTTTCTTTTCCTTTTTTTCTATTATAAATTATGTCTTACACTTTCCTCTTCTGATTCTTTCAATAGACTCTTTTAAAATAATACTTTATATACCTTATTTATTTATTTATTTATTTATTTTTAAATATATTTTTATTGATTTCAGAGAGGAAGGGAGAGGGAGGGAGAAAGAGATAGAAACATCAATGATGAGAATCATTGATCGGTTGTCTCCTGCACACCCCACACTGAGGATCAAGCCCACAACCCAGGCATGTGCCCTCTCTGGGAATCAAACCGTGATCTCCTGGTTCATAGGTCAACACTCAACCACTAAGCCACGCTAGCTGGTCTCAGTAGGTTTTCAAAATGGTATTGTTAGGGGCAAAACAGTACCAGAATGTTACCAGCATCTGGACCTCAGTCCAGCAACCTCAGTACTTGAGATCTGGCTAAGAAAGAATTCAGAGCTAAGACTCAAAATGAAAGACCAACTTTATTTAGAAAGTCACAGAGGTGCAAGAAGGGTATTATAGAAGAAATGGGCTCAGGAAACAAGTTACAGAGGTAAAAGAAGGGCCCTTGGAGCATAGAAAAAAGTAAAACAGAAAACAAATCTGCCTGAGAGAATGAGAGGGGAAAGGCATAGGTATGTTCCAGAGACAGAGAGAGATGGAGCTCCAGTGATGGGTCCTTCCTCTTCAGGGGTTTTATCTAGAGATCTCAGGGGAGGATCTCAATAGACTATTCATCAGCTTTTCAGGTATACATTCAGGGTCTTGGTTCAGGCCAGGGAAGGGGGTTCATTAGTTATCGAAGCTGCTCCTGATGCCAGCCATGATGTCACTCCACCTGGCCTTGCTGTTTTTCTGGGCCTGGAGCTGAAACACAACTGAGGCCCAGATGTTACCTCTAGGGCTTAATGTAAGGGAGAAGTTGTACAAGGGCGTCATATAAGCCTATTCTCCAGTCTCCTTGTTCCAACTCTAACAGGGTCTACCACATGACTAGGGATATGGAAGATCAGGGGGTCTAAACTGCATGACCAGCAATATGATGGGGAGGAAAGGTCATCCTGGGGAGGAGATCCCTTCCTACAGTAGTCTGTTGCTAGGCACACAGGGCTTTCCTCTCTGTGACCTTCTTTACCTTGCCTATGGTTCCTATTCTGCTCATGCCTAACTGCCTACTACAGTATTATTGGGTCAATTATAACAACATTTCAGTTTCAGCAAATCATATTTCTACCAGTTGAGCATGCTTATCTCCCAACACCTTAACAATGAGTATTA